TCAATTCTGATGCGATTTTGTTTGCGGCTGGGTCTGGGCCTGGGCCTGGAATCAGCAAGGAAGTCACGACTAAGTTTAGGAGATAGTTGCGAACTATTTTCAATCCGGAAAGCAGGTCTTGATCGCCTGAAAATGATAGAGGAATAGTCAAGAGCCCTCATATTGCACGCAGTCAAAATGCTCCAACTACTGCAACAAATGACACCGCTTCTCTCCATGGGGGAAGGAAAGCAGCTTTGATTCCACGTCAGAAAGCAGGTCCGGCAGTGTCTCCGACAAAGGTGGCGGAGAAGCCTGGATATTCTCGTTCCTCATCTCGCATACTTGCTAGCAACACAACTGCTGGGACTGTGTATCCTCGAAGCTCTGAGCATGGACCTCGACAACGACGCGGCGGAGGGCGACCCGTCCTCCATGCTCTTTCGCGACATCGGCCCGAGCGTGTCCGTGCCCAACGGCATCCATCACCTCCCTGCCGCCGCAGCCCACCTCCCTCCCCGCGCGAACGGCCTTCTAGCCGCCCCGCCGCGTGAGTTTGCAGTGCTCGCGTCCGCCCCAGCCCCGCCGCCGCCTTCATACCCACCGCACGAGCCACCGCTGGACGGACCCGTGCCGCGGCCGCCCACTACCCCGTCGCCGGACGCGGAACACGCAGACTCGGACGAGGACTACCCCGCCAGCCTCGAGGGCGCCCGTCTGGACGATGAGGACCCGCACGTCCCGGGCGACGTACACAGCCCGTACGAGAGCGTCGCGCGCGCTGCAGAGGCCGCGCTGCTCCGCCGCACGGACAGGGATGACCTGCCAGGGCGCGGCCCGGCGTCGTTCGCGTCTGGCCGCTCGCGACGCGCAGCATCCAGCCTGTCGGCGAGCGACTTTCTCAGCAGGAGCGAGTACACCGCCTACTCAGAGGACGTCTCCAGCGTTGCCAGCTTCGCGCGCAGCGCCGAAGACGACATGTTCGAGGAGGACGACAGCTTTGGAGGAAAGATGCACGGCGTCGATGTCATGCCAGAGATGGGCGGCATGGCGTACTCCAACTCAGCGGCCGCCGTGCCGAATTTGACGTAGCGGGTGGGAAAGGCGGGTGCTCGGGATCGGCGGGATCGTGGTGGTGGCTTATTTTTGTGATAGAGGGAGGGGGGTGGGGTGGGTGAGAGGGCTCTCTTTCGCGTTGGTCGTACATTTTTATGGGAGGAGGGCGTCGTCGACGGCAAAGTAAAGAGGGGAGACGAATCGTCAGCTATGATGGAAAGGCGGTTCGTATTAAATTCTCGACTACTCTCGAGCCACCGAAGTGCACAATTCACCGTCCCAAACATTACATGTCAGCTTTCCACACCATCTGCGTCATCACGGCCGTACCTCCCCCCCTCCCCCCCATCTCTTCCACACCAATGTTGTTGACAACAGCCTTCACCGCCCCCTTGCGTCCACCGCTCCCCCCTCCCACCGGCCCTTCTGCTGCCGGCCCCGCCTCATCTGCACGCACCTCTCGCCCGCCCATGTCTCCGCCGCGCGCC